AGGGGCAGCACCCTACCCAGCCCTACCTGGCAGGAGTCGGTGCCCCCCGAGCTGACGCCGGCGCAGAGCATGTTCTTGGTGATGCCTTTGGGATAGAGCTTGCCGCACTCTTCGTTGGGCATGGTGTAGACCACGCCGCACTGGAGAACGTCGGGGAAGTAGCCTGGGGACGGTGGGACACGGTCAGGGGTCCTGGGCCACGCCTCAGCCCCGGGGGGAGGGTGCCAGGGGAGCATGGGAAGGGTGGGAGCCTCTCGTTCCTAGGGTGATGGCCCACCATGGAAGATGCCCTCAAGATGAGGGTTGAATGGTCACCTTGGAGGTGATTTGGGGTCTCTTGTGGTCGTGGCGTGGACTTGGTGGAGAAGGGAGATCTCCACAGCCACCCCATGGACCAGTGATGGACCCAGGACTCCCCCCGGGGGAGGTGGCCCCAAGATGCTGAGGTGGCCTCAAGACACACTGAGGTGGCCCCAAGACACACTGAGGCGGCCCCAAGACACACTGAGATGTCCTCAAGATGTTGAGGTGGCCCCAAGATGCTGAGGCGGCCCCAAGATGCTGACGTAGCCCCAAGACACACTGAGATGTCCTCAAGATGTTGAGGTGGCCCCAAGATGCTGAGGCGGCCCCAAGATGCTGACGTAGCCCCAAGACACACTGAGATGTCCTCAAGATGTTGAGGTGGCCCCAAGATGCTGAGGCGGCCCCAAGATGCTGACGTAGCCCCAAGACACACTGAGATGTCCTCAAGATGTTGAGGTGGCCCCAAGATGCTGAGGCGGCCCCAAGATGCTGACGTAGCCCCAAGACACACTGAGATGTCCTCAAGATGTTGAGGTGGCCCCAAGATGCTGAGGCGGCCCCAAGATGCTGACGTAGCCCCAAGACACACTGAGATGTCCTCAAGATGTTGAGGTGGCCCCAAGATGCTGAGGCGGCCCCAAGATGCTGACGTAGCCCCAAGACACACTGAGATGTCCTCAAGATGTTGAGGTGGCCCCAAGATGCTGAGGCGGCCCCAAGATGCTGACGTAGCCCCAAGACACACTGAGATGTCCTCAAGATGTTGAGGTGGCCCCAAGATGCTGAGGCGGCCCCAAGATGCTGACGTAGCCCCAAGACACACTGAGATGTCCTCAAGATGTTGAGGTGGCCCCAAGATGCTGAGGCGGCCCCAAGATGCTGACGTAGCCCCAAGACACACTGAGATGTCCTCAAGATGTTGAGGTGGCCCCAAGATGCTGAGGCGGCCCCAAGATGCTGACGTAGCCCCAAGACACACTGAGATGTCCTCAAGATGTTGAGGTGGCCCCAAGATGCTGAGGCGGCCCCAAGATGCTGACGTAGCCCCAAGACACACTGAGATGTCCTCAAGATGTTGAGGTGGCCCCAAGATGCTGAGGCGGCCCCAAGATGCTGACGTAGCCCCAAGACACACTGAGATGTCCTCAAGATGTTGAGGTGGCCCCAAGATGCTGAGGCGGCCCCAAGATGCTGACGTAGCCCCAAGACACACTGAGATGTCCTCAAGATGTTGAGGTGGCCCCAAGATGCTGAGGCGGCCCCAAGATGCTGACGTAGCCCCAAGACACACTGAGATGTCCTCAAGATGTTGAGGTGGCCCCAAGATGCTGAGGCGGCCCCAAGATGCTGACGTAGCCCCAAGACACACTGAGATGTCCTCAAGATGTTGAGGTGGCCCCAAGATGCTGAGGCGGCCCCAAGATGCTGACGTAGCCCCAAGACACACTGAGATGTCCTCAAGATGTTGAGGTGGCCCCAAGATGCTGAGGCGGCCCCAAGATGCTGACGTAGCCCCAAGACACACTGAGATGTCCTCTAGATGCTGAGGTGGCCCCAAGACGCTGAGGTGGCCCCACGTCCCTTGAGGACCCCTCACCCCGTGGTGCGAGGAGATGTTTCCACCTACCTTCAGGGCTACTGGTGCTGCCCCAGCCCGAGACGATGCACTCGGTGTTGGGTGGAGGACAACGCTTGGGGAGCGCCACGGAATAGACGTGGTTGGTGAAGCGGACGGGCTTCTGGAGCTTCAGCAGCATGATGTCACTGTCATGGCTGGTGGGGTTGTAGTTGGGGTGGATGAAGGCCTTGGCCGAGGTGATGCACTGCTCCGTCCCCTCCTTGGTCTTCAAACTGTGGTCGCCCATGCGGATGGGGATGGGGCTGGACAACGGAGATGGAGAAAAGACCACGGTGAGGTTCCCTGGTGGACGTGGCACATGCCATGAAAGGTCCACGTGGTGGTGGTGGTGGTTGGGAGGAGCTCCTGAGAAGTAGGACAAAAAGCTTCCCCTCCTCTCATTAATATCTTTAACCAGATGGGGAAACTGAGGCTCGGAGCCCAAAGTCGTCCAGCAGGTCAGCAAGGCAAAGCGAGTCCTCCTGGTCCAACCCAAGTTGAAGAAGAACCGGCTCCAACCTGAGGACCTGAGATGTCCTGGCCGCTCTCCAGGTCCTCGCCGCACCCAGTTAAATCCTCAAATTGGGATTTTTTTCCCCCATTTTTTTTTTTTCCTGGTTGATCCCCGGCGTCGGGAGAAGCTCAACCAAAACCGTGGAGGAACGGCCACGTTTCTACCTCGAGATCCCCATGACGTGGGGCTGGTGGCCTCTGTGGGTCCTCCCAGGGTCTCCTCCCTACCCAGGCCAGTCACACCAGTGCCACAGGCTCCTCAAACTGGTTTGCCCCCTCCACCCAACTTGTTCTGGTCCCAGTCTGCAGAACTGGTGGGAACTGGGAGAGGAGGAGACCTCGCTTCAGACCCAACCATCGCTCACCAAATCTGGGGGCAGTTCGGGTCCTTCTTGGCCAATCTCCCCACGTGGCCACCTCCCACTTGCCTCAGGTCATTCTGGGAGCCCAACTGGTGGTGGCCAACCCAGTTAGATGGTCATTCTGGGAGCCCGAGTGCATGGTGGTGGTGGCCAACCCAGTTAGATGGTCATGCTGGGAGCCCAACTGCATAGTGGTGGTGGCCAACCCCGTGGGATGGTGAGCCCAACTGGATGGTGGTGGTGGCCAACCCCGTGGGATGGTCATTCTGGGAGCCCAGCTGGATGGTGGTGGTGGCCAACCCAGTTAGATAGTCATGCTGGGAGCCCAACTGGATGGTGGTGGTGGCCAACCCAGTTAGATGGTTATGCTGGGAAGCCAATGGGATGGTGGCACTGGGAAGCCAACTGGATGGTTGCATTGGGCCATCGAGGTGGCTTCCTCTCTGCCCAGCAGTTAGCCACCCAGTTCCAACTGGTTGACTGGTTTCCCGGTTGATGGGAAGAAAGGGGTCCCAGAAGGCTGTGGGGCAGGGAGGAGGACCTAAGCGAGAGATGACCCCACCTCTGCCGTTGAGGTTCTCCACCCACGTTGCGATGAAACCCAACCAGGTCCTACCATCACCAAGGCCACCTCCAGTTCCTGGTGGACCTCTCCACGACACCTCCCAGTAGCCCGGGGCCAAACTGGGAGGGGGGACGACCCCCACCCTTCCTGCAACCCGTGGTCTTCTGCCCACCCCACCCACCTCTTGGTGTCGCAGTGGGCGGCCGTCAGCACCCACGACTTGCCGATGAGGACCCCCCCGCAGTGGATGTTCTTCTGAGGGCCCAGGAGGACCACCTGGTAGGGGTGACGCTTCTTCTGGCAGCTGTGGCCCCCCACGATCCGGTTCTCGTCCCCCATGGCCGCTGTAGGAGGGGAGACGGGGCCCAGTCCCTCCCAGTTCCTCCCAGTTCCCTCCCCGTTCCCTCCCAGGGGGTCTCCTGGGCCACCCAGCACCACCCCGTGTCACCCCTGTGTCCTCCCAGCTCTCCCTCTCCCTCCCAGTGTCCCCAGTGACCTACCACTTCTCATCCACTGCCTACCAGTGTCTCCAGTGCCCTCCCAGTGTCTCCCAGTGCCTTCCAGTTCCCTCCCAGGGGGTCTCCTGGGCCACTCAGCACTGCCCCATGTCACCTCTGTGTCCTCCCAGCTCTCCCTCTCCCTCCCAGTGTCCCCAGTGACCTACTGCTTCCCACCCACTGCCTACCAGTTTCTCCCAGTACCCTCCCAGTGCCAGCTGGTTTACTCCCAGTGCCCTCCCAGTTCCCTCCTAAGGGGTCTCCTGGGCCACACAGCACCTCCCCGTGTCACCCCCACATCTTCCCAGCTCTCCCTCTCCCTCCCAGTGCCCCACTGCTTCCCACTCACTGCCTACCAGTGTCTCCCAGTGCCTCCCAGTTCTTTCCCAACACTGCCTCATTCCCCCTTTGTGGCCCCCAGTGCCTCCCAGCGTCACACCATTTCCTCCCACTGCCTGCCAAGTCTTCCCAGTAGCCTCCAATTCCCTCCCAGCACCTCCCATTGCCCCCAGTTCCCCCCCGCTCCCTCCCAGTACACCCTCAGCACCTTCCAGTTCCCTCCCAGTACCCCTCAGCGTTTCCCTGATGCCTCCCAGTGCTTCCCCATTCTGTCCCATGTGCCACCAGTGTGCTCCCAGTGCCCCAACTCTTT